GTGCATTTACGGGGAGTTTGGGAACCGGATACCCGATTCACGTAACAGGCGGGTACCCGGGTACCCTTAACTATAGTAAAGATCCGAGAAAAAGGCAGAAGTTTTTCCAACTTGTTCATGTCTGCACCTTACCTGTGGAGCTGCTGCGTCACTGCGAGTGACGCACCTACCATCTCACTTTCCCTACAATCAGCAAAAAATTGCAAGGGCCTAATCTGCCACTAACGCTAAATTCCATTTTGTTTGTTCAGAGATACAGTGAATAAAATTGTACACTTGAAGTGTGAAATAAAATACAATAAACCTGAGGTTGCTAAATCCCTGTTATGGAAAGTTTGTCCTATGTTTTATTCAGATTTTTTCCAGTAGTTTTCAGGCAAGTAATCAATAGAAAAGAACGCATGCCTTTCTAACATGCTGGATCAAATTTCACCAACATAGTTTCGGGTAACAAAGTTTGACAAAATGGAGTCGGGTACCCATAATCAACGATTCAGTTTCGGGTGCCTGGTCACTCGGCCCGGCCCTAATTGGGTGCAACAATGCAAATTAATACTGGCAACTTCTTGGAGAACTTTGTATGCAGTCCAACACGGCAGCTCTTGGGACACCAACATTTCTGCACTTTCTTCAGGTCCCCATTCACATCTTACTCCTGTCTTCAACTATGGTGACTGCACCACCAGAACGCTGTGACGCACCAACTGTACTTTTTCACACCGATGAGTGTCATGTTTCACTTTGACATGTCTCCAAGGTCAATGGATGAGTTAATTCCCAACAGATCACTGTCCATCTTGAACAGTTCCATCTCTCCTTCCCCCACACAGTCATCAATACAAGAAACTGAAAGGTGAGTCACCGGCATGAAACTCCAAGATGGAAGTAAAAAAGGGGGCAGATATGCTACTGTAACTGTGGATCAACAATGGAGATCGACGGCCAGAAAATTCCAAGTGCCCCCTCAAGGATTGAGAAGGCAATGACGGGGTCTGGGCATTTACCCCCATGCATTCACTCACAGATTCAAAGACTTTTGACAAAGCACAGAAGCTTGACTAAGTTTAGCACAATTACTACTGACTACAACTTTTGGAAGACACAAAAATATAATTTAAACATCTCTGGAAGGTTGGGGTTGAAATCCAGCAGAATTTTCTTCCAACTATTACTTATTTACAGAAATTTCAAGCACCCAGCATACTTATCGACCTACACAAAATCAATGAAAAGTGTACCTAAAGTTCATTAGAAACTGCCATATAACCTTTTAGCTCACACACAGCTAGCAACTTCATTTTTCTAGATGGAATTTCAGGCTATTCATGGTGAAAGACAGCAGAACCGGGAGACTCCCGGTTCTTTTCAGAACCACACATACTTATTATTTATGTTTCTATTTTTCGAAGGAAGCCACTCGATGAAAAACCCCATTTTGTAAAAATCAGCTTGTGCCTGCTAGGTACGATACACCTTATAAAGCATTTCTGGCTGGTGGCCTGATTATTTGAGCAGTTCTCGGCACATGACAATGCCGCGTGCCTCATCACTACACAACTCAGCTACCATCGTCCGTCTCTGGAGCTACTTCTGCATATGAGTCCTAACTACAAGCATTCCCCATCTCCTGACAGGGCAACAGCAGTCTATCTTACCTTTTTGCTTGCCACTTTCCTCTTAGCAGGTTTCTCTGGTGATTCATCATCTTCATCTTCCTCCTCCTCGTCTTCCTCGTCTTCCTCATCACTGAAACATTATCAACACAGATGTCATTCTCGGGAGTCAAGTGCAGCTGTAAATCATGCTGAATTGAAGACAGTTTAGCCCCCTACTTGAATGCATTGTTTCCAAAACTCCTAAAAAATACAGCAGCAGAAGTTCCAGGACGGATATCTAGCTTTCATATTTGAGGACAAAGAAGTAATGAAATGCAGAATGACTAAGAGAGTCTAATCATTTCCAGGAAATCTTCGCTGTCTTTGGTGAAACTACCATTAATCACTTGCCGCTAGGGTTTCCGGTACCAGACACGTATGCTTTATATGCGTGGCTGGGGTCTCCAAAATCGGACAAAGGAAACTGGGCCTTGTAACAAACCGGGAAAAATTTGGGGAAATGAAAAATCCATGAAACATTCGTCGGAGGGTTTTGCAAGTTGTGTTGGCCACAGCTTCCCTACAATTTGCAGCATATCTATTTGATGATAGGAGATTCAAGTACTGCATGTATGACATTTTTTGACGTCAACGACATCAGACCACCACTAGAATGAAACGAAACACAATGGCAGACGGACGCAAGTTGTACACAGTGCATGCAACGACAGCACATGTACCGTGCATACACACACAGTGAACGTACAGTACATGTACATACACACAATGATCATACCGCTGGCCTGGGTCCCTATGTTAAACGATGATACCCCCTCCATTCAATGTTCTATTACCTGTGTATTTCCAGAGGGAGTAACAATGCAAAAGTGCATGCTATACACTTAAACTTGTGCAAGTCTTTCGCTTAGTTTTGCACCAAATATTGTAGTCTTTGTGTTCCATATTGAAAGCATTGACAATACGGAAATCCGGAAGTCTCACAGAAATTCTGGATAGTCTCACAGAAATTCTGGAAATCTGGAAAAATCCGGACAAACCATACCCCTAAACAAAAGACCGTACTTGGGAAAAAAAGACCAGGCTGCTGGGCATTACCAACACTTTTTCACTCTCAATAATGGAGATAATCCAGCCTTGTTTTGAAACAGTATACCATGGTTTGGGGTGTTTAGTTTGAGCAAATTACCACAGGGGACAAAAGCACTCCACCACCGCAGCGATGAGCCACAAAGCACTGCTGCACGCTAATCTGGCCCCTATTGAAAAGAGGTCAGCAGTGCACTGAGCCAGGTTCGCGAACAAAAGAAAGTTACATAAGACCGCACAAGCTGGGCTCTTTTTACAAGGCAGCAGGCCTCGCTGAAATACTTGGGCGTCAACAAATTTTGTCCGTCAGACTAGAGTAGCCACCAGACAGTCATTTGTGTGGGTGTAAACGTCCATTAATTGAAATGGACTTAAAGAATTTTGTAAACTGAAAATCTTGAAAATGTCCCGATTATGTGCATTGCATTTTACAAACTACCTAGCAGCAAGTGGTTAAGAACGGCACTGACTATAGTCTGATGTTACTCAACCTAGCAACCTTGTACACTGTCCCCCTGGTATCATGTGACTTTCAGCTTCCCCTCCATGTGTAGTGACTGGCTAATTCAAGTGCTATTTTTCCCACAAAGGCTAATTGTCCATTTTGCAGTCCCATCCCCAATTCAGGCTGAAGCCACACACACCTGTCGTCGTCATCTTCATCTTCATCTTCAAAATCCTCATCATCCTCGTCGTCTTCATCATCTTCTATCTGTAAGTGAATCCCGAGTCTTAAAATGGTCAGGTGAACAGACAAAGTGTACTGGAGTAAATGAAAACAACCTCTCCAGACCAAGTTGAATAACCTCAGTATGGCAGTGACAAGAAGCAACCTACAGGATGTCAGCTAACCCCAGAGTTCAGTCAGTTAACATCTCCCTGGCACAAATCCATCCTTGGAAAAAGTCATGTCAAGGCAAATCTCCCACAAACCCTAGTATTTGACAGATTAAGCAAAACCAAGCCACTGTTAACACATGAGGGCCTGACGTCCAGACCTGGTTTAGATGCAATGATGTGAATTGATTTATCCTGCAGTAGTGGGATTTGACCAGGCCACAGAAGTAACCATTAGAAGTGTGTTAGAACTTACGGCCCAAATCCTGTATGTACTGCAGTGGCTTCTGATGTGATTTGATTGGTTCGGTAAGATCAAGGATTTGGTAGAGATTCCAATTGCAGGCATGTGAATAGGCATCAAGAAAAAAAAAACCCTGAAAATAGTTTGTAACAAAATAGATCGGAGGAGACTGCTGCCACGCAGAGAGTCAAACTCTTACGGTGTGGGGGAAATATACACCGTCCCAAAGCAATGTGTGAATTAAACCACTGCCCGCGTCCTGGCAAAGCGATACATACGTCATGTTCCTTGGCTTTCCAACTCGGATTAGAAAAGCGCAAGATAAGATATTGTTTCAACGTAAAATTTCATAGGGAATAAAGTGAAATTTTGAGTAGTCAACCAACATTTACCCTCTGACAACTCACCCCCCCCAATTTTATTCCATTTTTACACTGAACTCGAAGACCACAAATATGAAGGGAAAAAAAATGGAATTGTGGGTGAACCGGAAAGATTCCCATGCCTGCAACTGGTATCTCTGGGTCCTACCTCAGCCATTTCAGCATTATCTTCATCTTCGTCTTCCTCATCCTCGTCTTTGCCAGTGTCTTTGTCTAATTTTGCCATCTGACTCAAAAAAAAAAATAAATAAATACATGTAATATCTGTGGCTATGCAACAAACATTTTGACCCTACATAAAAAGCAGATTTTAATAGAAAGTCAAATTCCACTGTCTGTGATCACTGGGAATCACTCTAAATACCTCACCGCCCTTTACCATTGAGACTTGCAAGATTTCTCTTGGCATGGCCACAGTCAACTCATGTTAGGCACTTCAAACAAGCTGCAATTATTTTTTTTTGACCAACTGCTAAGAAATATCCATCTGTTTTTCTTCAGGTGGCCTTGGAGTGAAGTTACAACTCTCACCTTGGGTTTTTTGGCAGTGCCTTCTGACGTAGACAGCGGTCTCTTTTTGCTTTTAGCGGCAGGGAGTTCAGGTGATGCATTGATCTCCAAGTCGTCGTCTTCTTCTTCCTCCTCCTCCAATTCCTCATCTCCTTCGTCTGCACTGATTTCTGGGGTTCAAGAAAAAAGGGCTTGCCAAGTAACAGGGTCACCGTTTGATCCCAAAAGGCCATGACGGGTGAGATTTGAGGAAACTGAAAAATCCAGACAAAATGTGCCTCCTTCCGTATGTCCCTCGATCCTCTATCTCAACAATTTATCGCACCACGTGTACCTGGAGTATTCGTGCTTGTTGATTTTTCCCATTATTTTCTGATCATATTCGTCTTCCCCTTTGCTGCCTCTTTTTTCACCCGACTTTCAAGCCAGAAAAACTTCTATGGATTTGTCAAGTGAGAGTACTCCACCACAATCACAACAATCGATGACTTAAAAGGAATAAAAAGCCATTTCTATCAGTCAAAGCGAACAACTGCAAAGAACATAAAATGGCATGTGAGATATTTTCCATAAATGTGGACAGTGCAGTGCATGACATGTGTACAGCTGTGTCGGTCGAGTCCTTACAGTTCAATACCACACGCCCTCACTGTTCAGCGGTATTCTGTTGCACTCCAGCAGGAGCAAGTAAAAGAGTGCACCATTAAAACCTCAACCAGCACAAGTCCTGCATTCACTTTTGTGCAAAATTTGGAAAAAACTACTTCTAACGTTAGTTCCAGCAATGCCATGCCAAATATAAAAATAAAAAAATCCTGGATACATTTTTCCAAAAATCCGGAAAAATCCAAACAAACCCCACCACTGCCATGAACAAAGGTTTGCCATCTGTCTGTGATTAGAATTCATCATCTTGTTGTGGTTGAGTGTTACCTATCATGTGCTGTCCACTCAGGTAGACAGGCCCAGAGCCTGATGTTAATGTGAAGGTGACAGGTGGCTGGACACCAATGTCTAGTGGACTCTGTGGAGGAAAGACCGCAAACAGATCAAGCAACCTGTCATCATGAAAGACTACAACGCATTTGCTTGATTTCATCAAAGTGTTCCAGCGTTATTCACTGAATGTTGTCAGCTTTGCAAAGTAGCATTTATGAAGGGATGGCTGGAGGTAGTCCCTAAATTCCATTTCTGGTGACTTACGTTTAAATCCAAAGCAAGCCAATCTCTGCTAAAGCAGACTGAGTTGTCAGTCCCTGAAAGGTATACGTACCGGACGTGGGGTCACAGCATGTCAATATTTTTTCGGGTAGGTTTAACTCTTGCCTAGAAAACTACTTAATTCCACCTTGTCATGTTTTTCTAATCCAATCGAAGTTCCCAAGGAAAAGTGCCAAACACTGATTGATCTACCCAGGGGAAACTCCAAGGCGTCGGCATGAAAAAGGAAGTCACAAATTATGAATACAAACATGGAAAGACTTGCATAACTCAAAGTGACTTTTCCTACTACAGATGTTAGTTTCAATCTGTAAGTAAATGCCAGGCGGTCCAGAAATTACGTACACCTGCCATACCTGAGAGATACCTAATGTCCTGTTACACACCAGTACATGTACATATAACACCAGGTAGATATGGATACAGATGCATGAATTACATGCTTAAGAGGGATTCAAGCTATCAATTTCAAATGCAAGTTTTTTTTCTTCAATGCATATTGTAAACCCCAAAACCAAAATGAAAGACGGGTGCTTACACGTACATCATCATAACTAAGCATAAATTGTTTGCCGACATCTCGAAAATATTTACCCCTGATCATCTGGCTTGATTTCTGACATGAGGAGCCTCAGGTGCCATTGAGGGAAAAAAGAATTACAAACTTTTTATCAACAAACACATGCAAGGCTGAGGGATCCAATTTATCCCTTGGCAAGCAAACACTGATTTTTTAGATAGGAATTTTACTTGCTTGTTACTACTCCGTGGAGGCTTTTTCTTGATCATTTAAAGTGTGATAGCTATGCAAAGGTGATGATTTGAGCTTAGCCAGCGGAAGACCAGAATTAATTTGAAATCCTTGCCGGCTGCTGGGACAGCGCCTCATGACGTAACCAGATTACGGTACACAACAGTTGGCAAAGTTCATTCCCAATTTCACGTTCAATGCATTTGTGGTAAATGTGTAATCCAAACAAGTTAAGAAGGCAGTAGGCAGTCATCATGTTGAACATCATGTTGAACACTGTCACAAGAGTATTGTGAACTATGTCACACGTGAACATACAACGTACATTAGGGGTGGGACATTTACATGTTGAAATGTTTCATATCAAACCTAAATTCCTGCCATTAACCCTAACCCCCTAGGAACCATTGAAATCCTGCATAACCTTGTTGGGTTCAGCATTTAATGTACATGTATTTCAAGACTTATATGACAAGCCAGAGGTTTACATGACCTTCTACAAGGGACTCGATAATCAATGTACATGAACAGCATAATGGAGCTTTGGTTAGAAATAACATGTTTTCTAGTTAGCCTTGAGTCAGAACAAGCAATGCAGTCAGTGTACTTTGGGTAACAGTAATATTCACCTCAGAGACACATTTTCTCCTGATTATTTTAATACCACCGGAGGGACCAATATCACCAAATCCAGACCAGTCCAACTCACACTTTTTCCATTACAGATCCGCTTTGGTTCTCAGGTGTAGTTACTTTGTGAGCAGTAACCATCCGTGAAATTACGCCCCGAAGGTCACACTTCTTATCTGGGGCAACGATCTTGAGAAGCCAGCTTACAGACATGCTGATGTTTACTTGCGTGGCAAGATATTTATGAAATTGGTAATACTTTGCCTTTGAGGGGTCCAACCAAAGTATCGGGAAGTATTATTCTAGTCAATCTTAGAATACAGTTTGTGCCAAAAAATGGTCTGGTAAACCCCCCATAAAAACTGAACCTTCAAACTTTTCTTCCATCGGGTCGAGTGCAAATAATTTTCCATTCTAAGTTTGGGCCATATGACAGCCAATGAGACTATTTAGTGATCAGATAAACAAACAGAAAATGACTGCTGCAGACTTCTCATAGATTCTGGAAGTTCCTTAGATCCCGACTATTGCCAAACTGGTCATACGTGTACATTTTACAAGCACAGTATTTGCCAAGAGTCTTTTGAAAATTCGTTAACGTGTCAAAGCTTTTCCCTCTTTGATATTTTTTTTAATTTGGTAAGCAAACACACACGCAATGATTCATTGCAGCGCTTTGGAAAGTGTTCATCATGACCAGGAAAAAGATATCCCTGATTATAACGTTTCCCTAAAAACATGACTTTTGACAGAATCTTCAAATATATCTCCATTTACCGGGGAAAGTAGTCAGTGTCTCATTAACCGTAACAGTCCCAAATCCTGTCATTTGGCTAAGATTTTACATACACCCTAGGGGGTTAGGGTTACTGGAAACATTTCTGGCAAATAAACTAGAATGACAGTTTCTCACGCAATTTGTGCCTGAGGAAATATAAATTAAATCTAAATTAACTCGCACACGGCAAGCCAAGATGACAAGATCCGCTAAGAACGGAAAAAAGCAGCTGGGTCTTTTTATGTAAATTAAATTACAAAACATGGACACATGACACGTTGAAGTTGGCAAACATAATCACATAACATTAAAAAAGGTAGGTTAATCACGGTATCCCTGACTGATCCATTTTTCACCTGATCCTCTTCCCCCTGGAGATAACCAACTAATCTACTACACCCTGCGCGAAACCATTTACAGATTCTGTTCCCCTTGCGCCAAGTACCGCTGGATATTAAAGGTTTGCATGTTCTCTGTCTCTCTCTCATGGATGGCGGAGACCGATTGTGATCCAAACACACCGGGTGATGGTAAATCTCATGGATGGACGTGCTGGGTACTCCTCACTGGCCCTGACCTCCAAAATGTGAACTTGAGTCCAGCTTTAGTCACTGAGCTCTGAGGTGTAATGTAATAACTGCTCCGTCTATGAGCTGGGCCCAATTTCATAATACCACTTGTTTACGTTATTTCTTCCCAAGTCACAACAGTGCCTCAGAATCTTGTATCCTGCACGGTTGTTCCTAGATCAGATACTTCAACTCCAGGGTCCTGTTTCAGTATGTCGATGTAGCGTAGTAGGGGATCTGCCTCTGTTCCTGTGATCGTGGTTTGGTGTATAGACTATCAACTTTGTGATGGGCTCACTCTTGTTCCAGTAGGGGTGACCAGTAAGACGCAGATTCTCCTCTTGCAAATTTTGTCAGTGAGTCGTGGGAGGTCTCTGCATAGTTCCTTGTTTGGGATAAGTTGTTTCCAATGGATGCTGCTTAGTTAGTTGATTGCAAGTTAGTAGATTGCTACTTGGCAGCTTTGCGTGCTAAGCAAAATGTCAGCTGGGAGCCATTCACAAGTAAGGCTGTGCTGAACGTCGGAATATCGTCTATCTATCACTAACTGTCCGAATATTATTTTCCGAATTTGAATATTCAAATGCAAATTCCATGAAAAGGGAGAATTTCTTTTGTTGTAAATGAGAAAATTTGCACTACGGAGGCTTGTTTCAAGCAGATTCAAATGAATAGCGACAGAAACCTTA